CTTGTACCGGGTCCTAGAACTGTTTTGGCTCACGTAATTGGTCAAGAGATGTAGCTGAGCGCCACCGATAAAGCCAGTTATGTGAGTTCACCGAGAAAGCGCATTTCTTCACGACGACAGTGTGAGTGTCGGCGTCATCACCGCACAGGACAACCTTCCTCATCACCAGTCATCACCGTCGACTACTACAGACTTCAGTGATAATTTTCTGTTTAGAGACATTTTTCTTGCATTTAAAGACATTTGCGTGTGTGAGACATTTATAGTGAATTTCTTGTGTACTCTAAACCTTGTGTTTTCAGTGTAGACTCAGTGTTTCTTTGACTCGTTATTTTTGCAATATTTTTCAGTGTTATCGCTCATCTTCTATTTTTTTTTTGCCTTATGTCCTTGAGTAAGTTCCCTGAGATCATGTCCCAGTCACTTTTGAATGTTCACTTAGTGTATCATGCCAGTCAAAGTCAATATGAATCAGTCCACAGTACCAACATTCCCTTACTGACTGAAAGACAATACCTAGCCCTTGAGCAATGTGTTTGTTCTCACAGCTTGTATCTGAGATTTGTTAAAGTGCTGCGAAATGTGAAGTTCTGATTAAGTTCCTATAGATCCGTGAATTATTTATTAACGTAGCCGAGCGGTCAGGCACTAGTATACTGTCACTCCTGTCTGGACTCCAGCCACAATATCATGCACGCAGGATAGTGCTGAGACTACTATCCTTGCGATGGCGACTTGTTCAAGTATTCGTTCCTTCCCAGGGGACACTTTGAGAAGAACTTTACTTGCAACGAGTTATGCCATCTCTTGCTGATGCCACAAGCTGTGCAGAAAGACGTTTCTGTGGCTAGTGTGCTCACTTGAGTGTTGTTGTTGTTCCTTGTGTTTCAGATTGTGATCCCATCCTAGTTGACAGTAATCAGTGCATTGTAAGAGGTCATTTCTCGAGTAACTTCCACGTTGTTAACGTTTGTAAGTGTAGTTTCTTTATAGTTGATACCTCGTGTCACTGTGTGCGACTCAGAATATCAGCATTGTTCACCGTGTTCATTTCTTTTCTCCTGTGCTTGCAGTTTGAGATAGTAGATTCGTTCTCCCTTGCTCATATTGCGTGTTATAGCGTTAATTTTTTTCAACCGGGGGGAGTCATCCACTCCACCGAATTTGTTCATTCTTCCAGTAAGAAAGAACCGATACCTTGTATTCTGTATAGATGAATAATTACAGTATCAACTTATCAGTATTCAAGATTTTTTTTTTTTTTTGTGTTCACATTCTCTTCGAGTTCTGAGAGTTAACAGTCTAGATTTGAGTGCACCGAATCTGCCTTTCTGTTAAACACTCTTTCTTTGTATATATTCTTCCTCAGAATCCGTAGATCACATGAATACAGATCGATCGATCAAATTTTTTTTTATCACTTCTATTGTGTAATCCCAACGTTGAGTTTCATTCGATGAGTTGTGCTATATTATACCTTGTATTGCATTACAGTTTCAGTTACGTAAGCTTCCATTCCAATGTTCTACTTATGTATGTTATAATGTTCAATTGTTGTGTACTTTGACATTGTATAGAATCAGCCCAAGCCGTACACCTGCCATCTCTAGTTTGTATTAGTTGTATGTCGGGACGACATACGTTAGCGTCGCCGAGCTCTCAGTAGTAGTAACCAGTTACCAGTAACCAGTGTACCAGTAGATGACTCACTACCAACCGTCTCTGCGTGAATCACTGGCTGTATTCATATTGTGCTGACCACAGCAGCATTTCAAAGACCCCCTCACATATGGGTACTGTGGGTGGTCAGTTATACGAGAGTGAGCAAGGAGGCAAGGTTACGGCTGTTTGGGCGCTCCCCATTATCCATAATTATACGTACTTCCAGCCTACGTGAGTATTACTTTACTCTATCCACGTGTTCGAACCCCACATGATATGTGTGTCTGTGTGTGTCTGTGTGTGTGTGTCTGTGTGTGTGTGTGTGTGTGTGTGTCTGTGTGTGTGTGTGTGTGTGTGTGTGGTGTGTGTCTTTTGTGTCTGTGTTGTGTGTGTCTGTGTGTTGTCTGTGTGTGTGCTGTCGTGTGTGTGTCTGTGTGTGTGTGTGTGTGTGTTGTGTCTGTGTGTTGTGTGTGTGTGTGTGTGTGTCTGTGTGTGTGTGTCCTGTGTGTGTGTGTCTGTGTGTGTGTGTGTGTGTGTGTGTTGTGTGTGTGTGGTCGTGTGTGTGGTGTCTGTGTGTGTGTGTCTGTGTGTGTGTTGGTGTGTCGTGTGTGTGTGTGGGGTGTGTGTGTGTGTGTGTGTGTGTGTGTCTGTGTGTGGGGTCTGTGTGTGTGTGTCTGTGTGTTGTCGTGTGTGTCTGTGTGTTGTGTGTCTGTGTGTGTGTGTCTGTGTGTGTGTGTGTGTGTGTGTATGTGGTGTTGTCTGTGTGTGTGTGTGTCTGTGTGTGTGTGTTGTGTGTGTGTGTCTGTGTGTGTGTGTTGTGTGTTGTGTGTGTGTGTGTGTGGTGTGTGTGTGTGTCTGTGTGTGTGTGTGTGTGTGTGTGTGTGTGTGTGTGTGTGTGTGTGTGTGTGTGTGTGTGTGTGTGTGTGTGTCTGTGTGTGTGTGTTGTGTGTGTGTGTCTGTGTGTGTGTGTCTGTGTGTGTGTCTGTGTGTGTGTGTCTGTGTGTGTGTCTGTGTGTGTGTGTTGTGTGTCTGTGTGTGTGTGTGTGTCTGTGTGTGTGTCTGTGTGTGTGTGTGTGTGTGTCTGTGTGTGTGTCTGTGTGTGGTGTCTGTGTGTGTGTGTGTGTGTGTCTGTGTGTGTGTGGGCTGTGTGTGTGTGTGGTGTGTGTTTGTGTGTCTGTGTGTGTGTGTCTGTGTGTGTGTTGTCTGTGTCTGTGTGTGTGTGTCTGTGTGTGTTGTGTCTGTGTGTGTGTGTCTGTGTGTTGTGTCTGTGTGTGTGTCTGTGTGTTGTGTGTGGTGTCTGTGTGTCCTGTGTGTGTGTCTGTGTTGTGTATTGTGTACTGGTCTGTGTTTTTGTGTGTGGCTGTGTGGTGTGTGTGTGTGTGTGTCGTGTTGTGTCCTGTTGTCGTCTAGTCTTGGAGCGTGTCAGGTTTGTGTCTGTGCAGTCGTCAGTCTGTGTTCATGTGCCTGTGGTCCATGTTTGTGCCAGTCGTGCTTATGCCATTTGTGTCTCAGTCAGCTGTGAGCACGTTTGCCTGTGAATTGTTTCGTGTCTTTCCACTGCGTCTCTCATCTTGACACGGTATAATAACTTTACCATGATGCAGTGTCATCTGGAATTCATGAGAAATGGTAATGACTACAGACAAGAGAATGACAAGATGATACAGCCAAAGTCATCATAATTTCGCGTATCGCCATTGTCGACAGTCAGGTCGTAGGCCAGTTGTCGGCAGTACAGCTAGTCGATTGGTAGGCCGTCAGCCATGTTCGGTCGGCCACCCGGCCAGCCACCCAGCCGGCCACCCAGCCAGCCAGCTTGCCAAATACATATTACACATGTTCCAGAATTGTTTCTCTTTACTTAGGGCATAGGTTATAGGACATTCTGGTAGGATGACACTATCAGTGGTATCAAAAATGAAAGGATGTTGCACAAATGTTACAAATGGTTTATTATTGAGGTTTTTGATATTTCCGCTACCACTTGTGGCCACATCTATCACTTTCCTCTTAAAAGGGGAGTGTTAATATGACATCAGTGAATCCCTGGTGTTTGCCATGCTATTTGCTGTAGCTATTAGCGATACAAACGAAGATCTACATTTGGACAGTTTAAGGGTTAATATACAAAACATCCACTTATTATTGTGCCTACTACATATACAGAACACTATACTCAAATATAAACCCTCCTCTCAAACTCCTCCTTGATAACTATAACAGAACACACAGCCATAATACAAGACAAATCACTCTTCGATATTCCTTGTGTCCATCTCTCCCTATGCAAAAATGCTATGCATGTAAAGGGCACCGAAGATCTGGAATTCATTACCAGAACACACTAAAGGACCCCTGTCTACAAATCAGTTTAAGGCCCTACTAAGAAATCACCTCATCACCCAAATTTAACCAGACAAGCGGTACCTAATACCTACTAGTTACTCAAAAGCTATTCATATTGTGCTGAAGATTGTTCAACTACTTACTCACTACTTCAAAATTAGGATGTCTAAATTTCATTGTTTTAAATATTACTAAATTGTAATACATCATAATGTAAGTTGTTTTAAAATGTTCAATTGTAATACTGTAATCTTTATAAACTAATTCAATATTGTAATTATTTTCTACTAGACCTATCAAAGCCACGTAGCATTAGCTAATAGAATATTCAATTCTCTCGTACTCACTGTAACTTATCTAATGACCATATGAACTATTATTGCCTTCCTAATCTTAAGTTAATTTTTAAGTTTGCTCGAAATGCTCTGCATACAAAGGGACTTTTGGCATGTACACCCAACCATTATATTCCTCTGTACAACCATATATCATGTCAAAATACACTTCTTATTCTTATAACCATGGGTTATTCAGTACCTTCAACACAAGCAACTTCTGATATTATTATTATTAGTAATACTAACAACTTGTGTAAGATACTAGAACAATAAAAATACAGTAGGACCTCCGTATCCACAGGGAATACATTCCATGGACCTTCCGTGGATACCGAAACCGCGGATAGTAGTGAAGACTATATTTAAGTGTGATATATACCTATTAAAAAGTTTAATTGGTAAATTATGCACAATATGTGGAGAATTATCTCTTTTCATTGATGGGAAGCACTTCATGGCTTCTTTTATGCTTTGAAGAACTGCCAGTTTCTCTACTTTTGCACTTTGGGGTCAATAATATACAAAATTATGAGGTATTTTGGGGCCACCATAAACAGTGGATAACTGAAACTGCAGATACCGAATCAGTGGATACGGGGGGTTCTACTGTATGTCTGAATGAATAGCATTAACACAAACGTCATCAGCAGTTACCTGTTCTTGTGACAGCTGCGTGCCATTGATGCTGTTGTTGTACACAGATAATCTTTTGTGCCTTTTACAACTTGGCCCAAAAATTTTGTTTTTATTGTTTCCATCAAGGTCCTCTTTATCTTGAGGTCTCAGTACAGACATCTATAAAACAAAAACAAAAACATAAGCATATGAAAGTTGTTTACCATCAAGGTATGAAATTAGATTAATTAAATAAAGGTTCCATAAAAAATGGAACCTCCTGCATTTCCTTTTTGGCATTTTAAAAGGAAGCTAGGAAATGACCTAGCTTTTAAACCATCTCCATTTCAGATACCTGTTTTCCAATATCCACCTGATCATATAATGCAATTCATACATTCTCTGAAAAATCATGAAATTTGGTCAATTAGGAAAATAAAAAGTTGACCTCAGGCTATACCTTAGCACCTTAATGCTTGTATTATACCTGAAGGGTTAGTAACCTAAAATAATTAAAAAAATTGTGTTGCTCAACTGTCTGGCTTATTTCCAAAGAGGTCCTAGCTAAGATTTAATTTAGAGGGTGGTCTAAACTCAGATTTAATTTTTTTTTATTTTAAGTACAGCCTCTCCTCACTTAATGACAGAGTTCTGTTCCTAAGACCACGTCGGTAAACAAATTTGTCGCTAAGTGAGAAGCATACTATAATGGTAGTAAGTTTGTGTCAGCCATCTTTGATATTGGTTTAATGTCACCTTTCCACTATTTATAACATTTCTTGCATATTTTTAAATGTTTATATAGTAGTGTACTGTATATTGTAATAAACAGAATAGAGAAAATCAGCTCTAATATACATTATTTAGGTATGCATATTTGTCAGAGAGCCCGTCGTAGGTCTGAGTCATCGGTAAACGAGTATACATCGTTAAGTGAGGAGAGTCTGTAAGGTAAATCCAATTAATCAGTTCCAGACACCCAAAAATATTAACAAAAAAATACATTTTATAGAGAATAACTATAGTTTTACATACAGAAAACAATGAGAAATAAATATAAATGACTAATGAAATGGATAAATGAACATTTAACATAACTTTTACCTTCACCGGAGACTTCTTGGTGTATGGAAGACGGCGAGGAGGGGAGAGGGAGGAGGAGAGGTTATTGTTTGGAAGGGGAATCCCCATCCATAAGGAATTCAGGTATCAAGGCTTTATCAGGGGTTACTTCCCGTCTTTGTTTTTTACTGGCACTAGGACCAGCCTGAGAGTCAATGGACCCCTGTCGTACAAAAAATCTGTCCAGAGATCTGTTTCTGGCATCTCTAAGATTTGCCTAAAATGGGAGAAAGCACTGTCATTGAATGTGTTGCAGACACGACTTGCAACAGCTTTGTTAGGGTGATATTTCTCCACAAAACTCTGCAACTCATTCCACTCTGCACACATGTAATTAATCACTGAAAAAGGCACATTCTCCCCTCTCTCTTCCTCCTCCTCTGAAGCAATTCAGAGGTGGGAAGGCAGACGAGTTTGGTACGGACCATTTTCAAGTGTACGAAAACCGAGCGGATGTATGAAAACCGACACAAAATTTCGATGAAAAAAAAAAAGTCATCAAAAACTGAATTGTACAAAAACTAGGGCATACAAAAAACCAAGGTTTGACTGTAGAGGAAATCAGCTCTAACATACATTATTTAACCCCTTCACTGTCGCAACCCCAAATCCTGAGGTGTCTCCTGGTGTTGAAAAATTTCCGAAAAAAAAATTATTTTTTTTCTTATGAAATGATAGAGAATATTTTCCCAATTGTAATGACACCAAAATAACGAAATTTGATGGAAAACTGACGGAATTACACCCTCGCGAAGTTAGCAACCTCAGCGATATTTACGAATCAGCAATTTCGCCCACTTTGAGCCCTATTTTCGGCTAATTCCATTGTTCCAGCCGACCAAACTCATAGCTACTTCTTCAGAACTCCATTTTTTTCTATCAAATGAGTACAAGAAATTGCCCATTTACCGATTTCAACTACCCAATAACGTGGTCAGAAATTTACAATTTGGCCAATTTCACGAAAATTAAAAAAAATGACAATTTCAAAATAGGGTCCAGAATGAACAATGCAGACATTCCTGGCTCTAAAATAACATTTTCTTTGTTCATCAGTCATGCCTCCAGGCCGCTCTGATATTACTCTTGCTTTCTATTTTGAATTTTTATTCAAACAAAAAATAGAAGATTTACTGTTATGCAGACTACTGCAATATTGTAATTATTAAATAAATAATGTCAACCCATTCATGACTGCATATTAGAATGGTTACTTCAACATTTATTGGAAAATGACATCATTTGTTTACTTTTGAACATCGGCAAAAATCAAACATTTCCCCTACTTCGAGCTCCATTTCAAGGTTCTTTTCACAGTAAAATCAATCAATATCACCTCTATTTCTATAATATGTTTTCCATTCTATCAAATGAGACCAAGAAAACGAGAATACAACCATAAATACTATATGAAAATAGACCACAAAGTCAGCACTTTAACCCTTTGACTGTTTCGGTCATATATATACATCTTACGAGGTACAGTGTTTGACGTATATATACTCATAAATTCTAGTGGCTTCAAATCAAGCAGGAGAAAGCTGGTATTCCCACATGTGAGAGAATGGGCCTGTGTGGTCAGTGTGCACCATATAAAAAAAATCCTAGAGTACGCAGTGCATGAGAAAAAATAAACTCCGATCGTTTTTTTAATTAAAATGCCGACTTTGTCGTCTATTTTCGTATAGTATTTATGGTTGTATTCTCGTTTTCTTGGTCTCATTTGATAGAATGGAAAACATATTATAGAAATCGAGGTGATTTTAATTGATTTTACTATAAAAAGAACCTGGAAATGGAGCTCAAAGTAGGGGATATGTTTGATTTTTGACGATTTTCAAAAGTAAACAAATGATGTCATTGTCCACTAAATGTCCAACTAGCTATTCTAATATGCAGTCATGAATGGGTTGATGTTATTTATACAATTATTACAGTACTGCAGTAGTCTGCATAATAGTAAATCTTCTATTTTTTGTTTGAATAAAAATTCAAAATAGAAAGCAAGATTAATATCAGAGGGGCCTGGAGACGTGACTGATGAACAAAGAAAATGTTATTTTAGAGCCAGGAATGTCTGCATTGTTCATTCTGGACCTTATTTTGAAATTGTCATATTTTTTAATTTTCATGAAATTGGCCAAATTGCAAATTTCTGACCACGTTATTGGGTAGTTGAAATAGGTAAATGGGCAGTTTCTTGTACTCAATCGATAGAAAAAACGGTGTTCTAAAGAAATAGCTATGAGTTTGGTCGACTGGAACAATGGAATTAGCCGAAAATAGGGCTCAAAGTGGGCGAAACCGCTGGTTTCTAAATATCTCTGAGGTCGCTAACTTCACGAGAGCGTAATTCCGTCAGTTTTCCATCAAATTTTGTTTTTTTTTGGTGTCATTACAATCAGGAAAAGATTCTCTATTATTTCATAAGAAATTTTTTTTTTTTTTAAATTTTGCGACACCAGGAGACACCTCAGGATTGGGGGTTGCAACAGTCAAGGGGTTAATTAAAAAAAAAAAAAAGGTTGGAGTTTTTTTTCTAATTATGCACTGTGTGCTGCAGGATTTTTTTTATATGGTGCACACTGACCACACAGACCCATTCTCTCACATGTTGGCCTACCAGCATTCTCCTGCTTGATTTGAAGCTGCTAGAATTTATGAGTACATATACGTCAAAAACGGTGGCTCGTAAGACGTATATATACGACCAAAACAGTCAAAGGGTTAAGTATGCATGCTGATCAGATAGCCTGTCATAAGTCCGAGTCATCAGTAAACGAGTACAGGTCTCCCTCAACATTCACGTTTTCAGCTTTCGCGGGCTTCACACATTTGCGAATTCCCAACCGCCAAATCATATTTAAGTTTCCCGCCACCTGCGAGTCCCTACTACCTTTCCACCGACCCCCACAACTGGCAGCCAGCCCTCCCACCACTCAGTGTGGCGAGTGTTTTGTTAGTTCATTATTTGCTATTAAACTACAGTATAAATAATGTAAACCCATTCATGACTGCATATTGGAATGGCTATTCGGACAGGTATTAGACGGTGACATCATGTGTTTACTCTTGAACACAGCAAAGAATCAAACATTTCTACTACTGCTAATAATGACAATAGTAATAATAATAATAATAATAATAATAATAATAATAATAAATACGATGTAATTGAAGAAGGAAATTGTACAAAAATACGAGGGAGTGGTTGACACATCGTCAGTATGGCTTTGTTTATGCTGGAGTGAATATTAGTCTCCCTGCTCTTCCAAACATTTCACAATAATTCATTGTGTTTGGTGCTTGTAGATTGAGTGCGACTGGAGTGGTAGTGGCAGTGGTTGAGGCAGCGATTGAGGCAGTGGGTGAGGCAGCTGTTGAGGCAGCGATTGAGGCAGTGGGTGAGGCAGTGGGTGAGGCAGCTGTTGAGGCACCTGTTGAGGCAGCGATTGAGGCAGTGGGTGAGGCAGTGGGTGAGGCAGTGGGTGAGGCAGTGGGTGAGGCAGTGGGTGAGGCAGTGGGTGAGGCAGTGGGTGAGGCAGTGGGTGAGGCAGTGGGTGAGGCAGTGGGTGAGGCAGCGATTGAGGCAGTGGGTGAGGCAGCTGTTGAGGAAGCGATTGAGGCAGTGGTTGAGGCAGCTGTTGAGGCAGCCGTTGAGGCAGTGGGTGAGGCAGCTGTTGAGGAAGCGATTGAGGCAGCTGTTGAGGAAGCGATTGAGGCAGTGGGTGAGGCAGCGGTTGAGGCAGTGGTATTTAATAACATATGTGTTGTTAATAATAATAATACATGTTATTAATAATATGTACTATTATTATTTATAACATATATGTTATTAAATACCACTGCCTCAACCGCTGAATTATTGTGAAATGTTTGGAAGAGCAGGGAGACTAATGTTCACTCCAGATTCAACAAAGCCACACTGACGATGTGTCAACCACTCCCTCGTATTTTTGTACAATTTCCTTCTTCAATTATATCGTATTATTATTATTATTATTATATTATATTATTATTAGCAGTAGCAGAAATGTTTGATTCTTTGCTGTGTTCAA